GAGGAGGAGGAGGAGGAGGAGGAGGAGGAGGAGGATTAGGATGAGGACGACGCGGACGAAAATTCATGGAACCATCTAGAGGTGTTCTTGCGCCTGCTTCTGCTGTTGGTGCTCTCTGGGAAGCATCTTGGGGGCCCTCGTGGAACCCTGTAGGTAAGACTGGAAGGCTTCTTGGGATCATCTTGGAGGCCATCGATTACAATATGGGGGGGTCCCCAACTCAGCTCCCCCTTCAGGAGCCGGCAAACCGCTTCCGGGGGCTCTCTTGGAGCGCTCTTGGGCGCTCTTGGAGCGGTCTTGGGGCCGTTCGGAGCATTTTGGGAGCCATCTTGAGCCAGCTTGGGCTATCCGAGCCATCTTGTTTGGTCATCTTGGGCTTTCTGAGCCGTTCGGGGGCCTCTTGGGGGCCTCTCGGGTGCCTCTTGTTGTCCTTTTGGGACCCTCGTGGACCTGTCTTGGGAGCCCTGGAGCGCCTCTTGGGGCCATCTTCGAGGCTATCGATCAAAGGAGGGAGGGTCCATATCGGCCCCCCCCGTCGGAGGCTACGATCCTCGTGAGGGGTGTCAAAAATATGCCCTCCCACGGGCCGAAACAAAATTATCCTGGCGAAAGACCCAACCATAAGCAATTGTTGGTAACGCGTTGTGGGTGCCGCTTTCGGTGGGGCTCCATATGGGGCCACGAAGCGCTGCCTTGGATAGGGGGAACCGCATGCGGACTGCGCCACCGGGGCGGGCCTTCGGTGGAGCTCCCTATGGGGCTACGAAACGCTGCCCTGGGTGGGGGAACCGCATGCGAACTGCGCCACTGGGGCCTTCGGTGGAGCTCCCTATGGTGCCACGAAACGCTGCCCTGGGTGGGGGAAGCGCATGCGAACTGCGCCACGGGGGCTTTCGGTGGAGCTCCCCATGGGGCCACGAAGCGCTGCCCTGGGTGGGGGAACCGCATGCGAGGGCAGCCACTGGGGCCTCCGGTGGAGCTCCCTATGGGGCCACGAAACGCTGCCCTGGGTGGGGGAACCGCATGCGAACACCCCCACTGGGGCCTTCGGTGGAGCTCCCTATGGGGCACGAAACGCTGCCCTGGGTGGGGGAACCGCATGCGAACACCCCCACTGGGGCCTTCGGTGGAGCTCCCTATGGGGCTACGAAACGCTGCCCTGGGTGGGGGAACCGCATGCGAACACCCCCACTGGGGCCTTCGGTGGAGCTCCCTATGGTGCCACGAAACGCTGCCCTGGGTGGGGGAAGCGCATGCGCGCCACGGGGGCTTTCTGGAGCTCCCCATGGGGCCACGAAACGCTGCCCTGGGTAAGGGAACCGCATGCGAACACCCCCACTGGGGCCTTCGGTGGAGCTCCCTATGGGGCCACGAAACGCTGCCCTGGGTGGGGGAACCGCATGCGAACACCCCCACTGGGGCCTTCGGTGGAGCTCCCTATGGGGCCACGAAACGCTGCCCTGGGTGGGGGAACCGCATGCGAACACCCCCACTGGGGCCTTCGGTGGAGCTCCCTATGGGGCCACGAAACGCTGCCCTGGGTGGGGGAACCGCATGTGGACACCCCCACTGGGGCCTTCGGTGGAGCTCCCTATGGGGCTACGAAACGCTGCCCTGGGTGGGGGAACCGCATGTGGACACCCCCACTGGGGCCTTCGGTGGAGCTCCCTATGGGGCCACGAAACGCTGCCCTGGGTGGGGGAACCGCATGTGGACACCCCCACTGGGGCCTTCGGTGGAGCTCCCTATGGGGCCACGAAACGCTGCCCTGGGTGGGGGAACCGCATGTGGACACCCCCACTGGGGCCTTCGGTGGAGCTCCCCTACGATGGGCTACGCTGCCACAAACTGCGGGGCCTTCGGTGGAGCTCCCTATGGGGCCACGAAACCTGCCCCGCATGCAACACCCCCACTGGGGCCTTCGGTGGAGCTCCCTATATGGGGCCACGAAACGCTGCCCTGGGTGGGGGAACCGCATGTGGACACCCCCACTGGGGCCTTCGGTGGAGCTCCCTATGGGGCCACGAAACGCTGCCCTGGGTGGGGGAACCGCATGTGGACACCCCCACTGGGGCCTTCGGTGGAGCTCCCTATGGGGCCACGAAACGCTGCCCTGGGTGGGGGAACCGCATGTGGACACCCCCACTGGGGCCTTCGGTGGAGCTCCCTATGGGGCCACGAAACGCTGCCCTGGGTGGGGGAACCGCATGTGGACACCCCCACTGGGGCCTTCGGTGGAGCTCCCTATGGGGCTACGAAACGCTGCCCTGGGTGGGGGAACCGCATGCGAACACCCCCACTGGGGCCTTCGGTGGAGCTCCCTATGGGGCCACGAAACGCTGCCCTGGGTGGGGGAACCGCATGCGAACACCCCCACTGGGGCCTTCGGTGGAGCTCCCTATGGGGCTACGAAACGCTGCCCTGGGTGGGGGAACCGCATGCGAACACCCCCACTGGGGCCTTCGGTGGAGCTCCCTATGGGGCCACGAAACGCTGCCCT